ATATACATATATGCGTATACACATACATACATACAGCTTTAGAGGCAGAATTACAGCTCCACACACAGATCTATAGTTACTGCAGTGTTTTAGCTCATTTTAGGTGTTTCTAGGCGTTGAAGACGTTTCAAGGAATGGTGCCATGTTTGGGAGGATATTTTTTTAGAAACAATGTCACAATTTTTTCTTGAAATTTTTAATCTAGGCCAAATAAAATGTGGTTCACGTTTACACAGTTGTTGGAAGTTATCAGTCAGTTGTGTTGTATTTACACCAACATATGGGTTATCTCGCAGAATTTGAACAGTGTCAATATACATGAAAGCTCAATTATTACTCACTTTTACATTTTGTTGTAATTTTTGATTCAAGATAGGTTTCTGTGCTGATTCCATCAATGTCTAAATAGTTATTGATTYAAAAACAAGAGAGAAATTTTAAATTTAAACATATTTTCTGTTAAAAATCTGAGTATAGCTACTTTTTGTCTTGTTGTGGTCTCTAACAATGGCAGACATCGGGTACATCTGCAAACTTCATCCTCTTAAAAAAAAAGGAAAGTAAAGTTCTGTCTGGGTTTGACTTTAATAGAGTAGACACGGTCGCTCTTCTTTTGTAAAAGCCCACTCACTGTTTGCATGCTTTGGCATTTTATGGCTAGTTGCAAACTATATAGTGTCTTTAAGTGGATAGTATGCTTTGTGTCTGGCTGAGGCTCATAAATCCGTCTGCTGCACCCTGTGACCCACGTCAGGGACGCTCTTTATCATTACTGTCATCTCTCTTTGTTTTACAGTCAGAAGTTACTTCAGTATGTACTTTTTCACTTTTGATTTAGTTCATCTTCAGTGGGTTTCAAAATCTAGCAGCATTTTGGTCAAATGTTTAGGGTTTTTCAGACTTTATCCAAGTTAAGTTCACTTTTTTTTGTTCGACATGGTATCTTTTATTCTGCCTGAACCAGACTGGAAGATGGATGCAGTGGCAGTTGATTGGGTGTGTCTCACTAAATAAAGAGTTGTTGTGTCTGGGATCAGTACATGTTTCTAAACACAACCTAGTCTCTTTGCGGCTGCAGCTGCCTCATATAGGGAAGAAAAAAAGCAAATCTGTGAGGCTCCACTTAGACCTCTTCTCCTTTCAGGCCCTGGCAGCCCAGGTTCATCTGTTCTGGAGATTAAAGAAAAAATTTGAATACAATAGAAAACAACAAATATTTACGTCTAAAATTCCTGMTTTCAGTTTTATTCTTAGAGATTCAACCACCATGGCCAGTGGTAGTTTATTCAGTTCAGATAACAGCTTTCAGTTTCCATTTTCTGTGTCTTTGTTATTATTATCCCCTCTGTTAACCACCCACTAATGAGACTCCAATTAACAGTTACATTTTTATAAAAGGCCAGACAGTTTGGGGTGGGGGGATGGAAAACCCCACAGAGATATGAAGGATGTTGCAAGCTGAAAAAAAGAGTGAAAATAAAGACGTTACATAAAGATCTGATGTCAGTTTGAAAGAAGACAGACAAGAAAACTGACAAGAAAAGAACGAGATGACAAATAATGATGAGGGGGAAAAAGAACAGGACAAGATGGGACACWACAAAAGGGTGAAGGAAGTGTTGGAGATGATAGTAAAGGGGGGTGTGGGGGGTGGTGGTGGTGGGGTAGAGCAGTAGTAGCTGTCAGAGGGCCATTGGAGGGAGTGTGTCGCCCGCTGACATTGTTTCCATGCTGCTCACTTCAAAGGACTCGGATTATGAAGAGAGCGAGGGGCTTCAGACAATGGGAGGGGAAGAAAATAACATCAAAGTTAGCCGCACATTTGAATTGGGATAATCCCAAAACAGTTGTTCTGAATGCATGCTGCACCAGATCAGATGTCCCTCTTTTTTTTTCTTCTTCTTCTCCTTCCTTTTCTTTTTTCTTGGCAGCCCCATTCTGCTGTTTCTAGCATGAATTTAGCTCCCTCTGTGGCTCTACTGTACTTGGAGCTCTTAAATGTGGGTGTTAGCTGCAGAAACCGTCTTGTTAAAGCCCTTTTTTAGAACGTTAGAAGTACAGTTAGTTATGCTCATTATGTTTTTTTTCTTATGTGATGTTTAGTTGTATAAATACTCTGTGTGCACTAGCTTGAAATATGGTCTTCCTAATGCAAGTGTTCTCTGTACTGCAAAATTCAGTCTGATGATTCGCCTTCTGTTCCCTTCAAGTAAAGTCCAAACCCACAACAGCAACTTATGCATCATTTCTTTTGAATCCAGTACTATAAAAAAAAAAACACCATAAACATTGTTGGTACAAGCTGAAGTGCAATGACATAAAACACCTTGAGGTCAGACTCCTGCATAGTTAAAAGGTTGCAGTTGTTCATGTATTTGTGACATCATTAAACTTCTAATATTTAGCTTTGMGCAATACTGAGCCCCTAAAGGGACATGGAACGGAAAAAAAAACTATCTTGTGCGCACGAGATACTAACTGGTGCGCACGACTTACTAACTGGTGCGCACAACTTACTAACTGGTGCGCACGACTTACTAACTGGTGCGCACGACTTACTAACTGGTGCGCACGACTTACTAACTGGTGCGCACGACATACTAACTGGTGCACACAAGATAGTTTTGTTGGTTTTTTTTTTCATTCCATGTCCCTTTAGGGGCTCAGTAGTGCAACGTGTTGTAGTTGCGACTTATATTAAACTCGTTCATGGCTGATCATCTCTTCCTCGCTGGTAGAGAAGACGTGTGCGCGAGGCAACATCTGCAATGGAGGTGCCATCTAGTGGCAAATTTTGTCATAACAACCAATTCAGTGCCACTGAGACACTTTTACAAATTTTTGTAATTAAAAAAAATTATCTAAGAGCTTCTTTGTGCTAGAGAGTATCAGATACAAAAAGATGTGAAGATATGGCGTTATTTTTCTACAGCCACTCAACAAAGATCCCTTGGTCCGGGGTACTGCCTGAAAATGACACTATGTCATGTGTTAAATATAATAATATTTTCAATGCGTTTTTAAACACATGTGCCTTTAATCATCATATTTAACAGTTTTTAACAAGGAGATGAATCATGCCACTGGCTCTTACAGTCTGTACCTATGAGTTGGAAAACATCTCCAACATTTTACTTAGAGAGATCGCCTCAAATGTTGTTTAACTCTGACTCAGTGAGGTGTTCTCGTAGGTTTGACGAGTACCTCTGGAACTATGTGATGAGACCTGGAGTATGCTGAACTTTTTTTTCTCTCTCCAGTTTCTGCTTGATGCTTTTGTGGTGGAAAGCTAAATTTGATTATATAAGGACAACTGTAGTCTGATACAAAAAGAAAAAAATAAAAGGTTAATCATCCACACCCTCTAGTTACTATCTAGTTTCTTTGATATTACCAGTTGATATAAGTCACTAATTCTTATTTAAAACAAAGTTTTAATATAAAGGAAACTGTGTCTGTGTCAAAGAACGTTGAAATTTTATCCATCAAGATATTTATATTGAATGAGAACCACAGATTGGGATACGGCTAATGTTTGGTTTGTAAGATTAATCGTATCCCGATGATGTCTGTTTTTCTTTGTCTAGTATTTCTTTCAAAAATGTGCAGGTATTTGAGGAAAAATGTGAAGTTAAATAATGAGTTTTTTTTGGAAAAACCTGAGTCCATAATTTGACTTTCTGTGGCTATTTTCACAGGCAGTGTCTTTGTCTGTGCATGCATTCAGTACCTCAGCCCTGTGTTTGAATGTGCATATGCACTTGCTTAAAATTTTGAAGCTGCCATATCTGTCTGAACTGA